GCTGCCCTGCTTCTCAGATCTGCAGTGATATTGCTGTTTGTGAGTCTGTTTTACCATAAAGCCAAAGGAACTGCTTTTGTATTGGGAAAGAATGCACAGCTGAGCTCACTCATATCTCCAGTAAGACATATCTCTTCAAACTGCCCTTGTGTAAAAAGATATTTGTCTTAGAAAGAGGGAGTTGCCAATGAGTTAATATTTTGTTTTCAATGTTAACATTTGAATCCAATTTGGATTGGGTGTCCTTTCCTTTTCCAAATGTGCACTGATCTCAAAGTATATCCCAAAAGAAATACCTTCTTTTTGCCAAACTGATATTTCAACTTCATGAGACGGAACTGTGCACATTTCCACAGTCTAAATGCATGTATACACAAACTGTTCCACGACCGCTAACGGATAACAGGCTCCCATGCATAAATAAATTTCATTAAATGAAAGGGAAACATCTATTTCCAAATGAAGAGAAAAGAGTTGCTATTAAGAACCACAATGCATTACACTGCTAAGTTTTTCTTCCTTTTGCCTCATGCATCAAAATGATAGCACTGAAATTATAGCGGTTGCTAATTATAATACTACACCGTTAACACAGAACAAGTAATTGTTCAGACCAAGTAGCACAAATGTCGAAAATAATCATACTTTTTTTTTTCAACAGAGCAAATTAACACAGATTGTTTCGTCAGCAAAATATGAAAACTGTAAACTTTGGGCTCATTCTGCAACTTTCCCCAATCCAGAATAAATAAAAATCCAAAGGGAAGAAAGACGGACACACATCTTTAAGCGCACCTTTTTTCCTGTCTATTACAAAAGCACAACCTAAAACGTATAAAGCTTTTTAAATTTCTTTTAAATCACAGTTACCAAAATGAAACAAGTGAATAATTTATTACATACGCTATAATAACATTACTCTAAACACTATTATCTATGAGGTATATCTGAGAAAATTCGGTAAGGAATTGAGCGGTCTGCGTTGCCAACATGCCCAGGTTTTATATTTTAAAGCTTTGGAACCATGAAGAATTAGAGAAGAGAAGAGAGGTGAAGAGAGGAGAGAAAAGAGGGAAAGGACCTTTGGTATTATTATCATCATCATCATTATCATTATCATCATCATCATCATTATTATTACAAATGATGTTCTTTGCAGGGTTGCATTGCAAAGCACCACAGTACAATAAGCCCACCAGTTACAATATGGCGGCCCAGTTGACGCTGAGGTATTCACAGGAAGAATTAAAAAAAAAGCACAGAGAGGTCTAGACTGGCAAAATCGTTGCTTTGGTTCAAGCAAGGCACTCGTCCTGTGGTAAATTCACACTTTGCACGTGAAGCATGAGTCTGAGAGGAAATGCAATTGCTGTCAAGGGGTCCTGCCAATTCTGACCATTTTCTGTGTCCAGGTTGTTTTTGGTCCTCCTTGACACACAAAGTGTGCAGAAGGCCTGGCTGGGAAAGGGTTAACACAAAGGATCTATCATTTTCTTCCACTCATGGAAGGCATCCTGAGAGTCATTATAGCTCTAAGTTGAAGGCATATTGCCACAAAATGTACACTGTAGGGTCTAAGAGAGGGGGGAATGTGTTACAGAGTGGGGAGGGGAGGGGGTTTTCTAAAAAGGCAAAAATTCATATTTCAAAGTGTGGAACTTCGTTGTGTTGAACCATTGGAAAAGACAGTGTGTGGGCATAAAACTGAAAATAGTGCTCAGCTGCTACTGGAAAAAGTAAACTGGGGGATTACTATTCTAGGAGGAATAATTCAGTTTGCTAATACATACCATAGCACCGTCCCAGTCCTACCATAAACATAGTGGGTAGGTGTGCTCTTTTATATGAAAGGTATCCATAGAATGGCAATACTTTTATTATAACCAACCAAAAAGAATTGGCTAGCAAGGTTTTGAGCCCTCCTGTAATTCTTTTATCTGGTTGGATGCTAAACAAAATGGAGGAGCAGGTTGGGTTAGGAAACATAAAATTGTTGAGTTGGAAGAGATCTTGTGGGCCATCCAGTCCAACCCCATTCTGCCAAAAAGCAGGAAAATCGCATTCAAAGCACCCTGACAGATGGCTATCCAGCCTCTGTTTAAATCCTCCAAAGAAGGAACCTCCACTACAACCCAGGGCAGACAGTTCCACTGCTGAACAGCGCTCACAGTTAGGAAGTTCCTCCTAATATTCAGGTGGAATCTCCTTTCCTGTAGTTTGAAGCAATATTATATCTGCAGAGACTGATATTTATAAGACCACTAAGAGCATACATGGGATGGATAGGTGTTAAATGCTTTCATCACTATCCACAGTTCCTTCCCAAAGGGAGACTTCTTCTGAATGGGTGGAATTTTTGCCTTGAACCCTCCATATCTGCTGCTGTTAAAATGCCCAAACAAGGCACAAGGTCCTATTTCAATGATTTTATTTTTTATGATGCAATTCATTGCTAATTTTTATCTGGAAGGAACAAAATGGGTAATCTGAGCAATTTCCTTCTCACTGGCAGAAAGTCCATGAAAACTACATATTATCTGAAGACTGTTCACAGTTTGGGATTTTTTTTCTGCGCAAAATTGCCTTGCTGCTGGGAACGGGATGGAAATGTCATCACACACTGCCCTGCTTTCTTGGGCCTCGAAAATCCTTTCCCTGGTGGAGACTGCTTTACTGAAAGGCTAGAGGTTTTTTCCTGAAGGGGAATACGATGTAGATATGATGATGGAGCTCCATCAGGATAGCTACATCTCCTGATGTAGAATATTGTCCAGTGCCTATGAATTTTGAATACTTCTAGAGCATGGCCATACAGCCTGAAAAAGCTACAACAATCCAATTGGGAATATTTCTCTGATTTTCGATAGATATACAGTATACCTCACAACAGGGAAATCTTTAAACCAGATGACCATAAATCAGGCACCTTTCCAGAGAGTAAACATATTTTACCCTCCATAAAGGACAAACCCCGACTATACAAGTTGTTTTTACTTTTTCAGACTACACCTCCCTGAATGCCCTCAGCCAATGTAGCCTATAGCCATATTGGCTGTGGGATTCGTGGGAGCGCGTTGTCCAACAAAAGCTAAATTTCCAAGCTTTGCCTACACTTGGTCTTGCTTCCTAGTTACCACTATTTAATGGAATAATGTCTTGGATTGTGGAGGATCCATTTAGCTTTCTCCATGGTCAGGAATTCTATCTCAGCAAGAGACAATCATGTTCCATTTTTAGATTTTTAACCCTTAACTATATCTCCAAGGGGAAATGGTTTTACATGAATCCTATGTGAAATCCCCCAGAAACATCCAAAAAGTATTTAGCAGCTGTCAGGAGAAAATAAAATAAACTTTAGTAAGAATAATTCTCTAGAAGCAAGAAGAAAAAGGATAACCAAAGAGAACTCATATTCAACACAACTGTCTCTTTTTGTTTTCTAGGTCCCACGAGATAATAACAACACATATAACCTGACCCAGTAGTTCCATGTACAGAAAGCTGAAGTGTGTGTTTAATATGCCTGTGCATACTGCTTGCATGTATGAGGAATTTTCTTTTGTCACTTCAACACAGAGGACAATCTATTGTTTTTAAAGGGGTGGCTTGAGGAGCTTTCTCTTCTATGGGAGGGGACCAACTCTGCCAGAGATTTGGATATGTGCAGGGACATTGAATTCCACCTATAAATGGGCATGGCCCAGAAAAAACTTGAATGCACCTAGAACCAGGTGGGCACAATGGAATATATAAGATATTGACCTGAATTTAGTCCTACTGACCTTCAGTAGGTTTTCTTCCCAGTAAAAGAGGACTCCAACACAAGGTCAAGGGCACAGCCAAGGATTTCTGGCCCATTTACTGCTTTGATCCACACTTAGAGATTGTGTGTTTTGCACTGCAGCCTACATTTTAAGCATGTAAATTTGGAATTATAGGATTTGGTATATTTAGGTTTCTTTGGATTGTGTCCCATGAGTGGATCTAAATGTTACTCAAACTGATTCATTTACAGCCACACACTGGCCCAAAAGTTTGAACATGGAGAACTATATTTACTTCTCTTTTTTGAAGGATGGAGGTGGTGATCTACACTCTAAACCAGTGGTTCTTCAACCTGTGGGTCCCCAGATGTTTTGGCCTTCAACTCTCAGAAATCCTAATAGCTGGTAAACTGGCTGGGATTTCTGGGAGTTGTATGCCAAAATACCTGGGGAGCCACAGATTGTCCCAAGTAATTTGGACAAGAATTACAGGTAGTATTTCTCTTGCTACACCCTACTAAACATCAGATTTTGACCACATCGTATCACAATCTGCTTTTGAAACTATGTTTCAAAGATGACTTATCATGGAGGATTGGCCTTACTGTTCTGAAAAACAAAATCAACTGTGAAGACCTTGCTATGTGGTGAATAATTGAAGGTAGCTTCTCTGGCTCACAACATTTCTCCACAAAGTCAAGGACCCTTTCTATCCATCCTCATCCATACACCTCCTTAGCCACCCAGTTCAGGCACTTTCAGATGGAAATGTGCATCCCTGTCCATGTGGTTCAGGCTACTTGAGAAAGGGAGAAACATGCCATGAGGCAACTCCAGGCAAAAGTCTTTCCTGTACATGGAACACTGTGACAGCATCAGGCAATAGGTGCTTAAAATCAAGCTATTAGAAATGCCTCCTTTTGGGAGGCTGGGAGCGGAAAGGGTGGTGGCAGAAAGTGAAACACAGAAAAGGGCTTTGTCAGAATTAGCAGTTCCCTTGAACAGACTTTCTTGGGGTGGTTGGGGGTATCTGAGTTGCAGCTGTACATACTGGATGTAAAAGAGAAAAAGTGAAAACTATAAAGAGCACAAGCAAAATGCAGACCGCACAGAGAAAGAAATCTTTGGTATCTTTGGTATCATCAACACGATTAAAATTACAAATGGAAAAAGTCAGTGAGGTAGCCTCTTTGGTTCTCACTAGAAATAGAAAGTTTTTTTTCCTTTTTTTCCTGTTTTTTTTTAAATCCTTTTATTTTTATTTTTATTTTTTTTTACACACACACGAAGTTCATTCTTGGAAGCAGCTACTTTTAAGGGTTTCTCTCTTTTTTAAAAATTATTTACTTATTTATTTTATTTTTTTGCTTGTTGTTATTTTATATTTTTATCCCCCCAGCTTAGGTTTAGGTTTTTAAAAAGCCACAAAGTTCAGGCAAAGTGTTGTAGTGTCTTGGTTTTCATTTTTAAAAAAATCCCCTGTTGTTCCTGAATGCATGGTTTTTAGACAAAATATTCCTTGCTTGTCCAAAAATAAAAAATAAAAAAATCACTCTGTTGTTCTGACAGCAAATAAACTGTAGTGCTTTACGCTGATTTCATAAAAAAAATATAAACTATACAAGGGCACCTTTAGTAGATGCTGAATAAGTTAAATAAATAAGTTATATTATGAAGGCTTTTACGTGCCGTAATAATAATTAAAAAGTAAGCCTCACTTTTTTTGGTTTTGAGAGGTTTTTTTTAGTGAGGTGAGGAGGAATTAACTTAAATAACTTAAAACTGATCATTTTATAAACCATTGAAAGTGATTATAATATATAAAACATACCCTTGTTCGGGGAGAAAGGTGGGGGACATCTTTAATCATTTTTGGTAACTTGCCATCTTTCACCTTGTTTCTGTAACAGATTCTGGAAGCTGTACCAATACCTCTCCCGAACATTAAATGTATGTGCTAACCTCAGATTTGCATCTAGGATGCACTACACTTCTAAGATTGATAAATAAGCAAAAATTAACACTAGCAAATTAAAGGCACAACCCAGAGGGAGATGATCACATGCACATACCATTGAACTTGGTGATGGTACCAAACTTCTATACCCTGGTACCGGCTCCATTCATTTCAATGGGATGTGGTTAGGACCAAATCCAGGTGGGTTGCAACCAAAATAATCAGGAATGTCATCAAAATCATCACAGAAGGTAATCAGTAGACTTCTGGCCCTCCAGCTTTAGCACCAGCTAAACCTATGTTCAAAGTCCAAGACTGTGTCCCGACGCCAATGGAATCAATAGGACCTTGACTTGGAATACATATTTAAGCAGAGCTAAGATGTTGGGCTTGGTTCTCTATCTAACTAAAATAAATCTCATGATTGATCATTAGTGTTACTCATTACAGCCCAAAACATATAAAGGAAAGAAATAAAGGCTTTGAAGATGACCGTGTAACTTTTCAAACAATAACAAAGCAAAACAAATCCCATAATAAATAGCGAGTAGGCCAAGCAATAATCTATAAAAATCACAAAATACTTAAATATGGTGACAAGCAAGAAAAAAAACATCAGAATTTTTGTTCCCCCATAGCTATGTCATTGCCACATCTCCTCTTTTTTGTTTTTTGTTTCGTTTTTGGGTTTTAAAAAAAGGAGGTTGCTATTCCCGTAAGTCGGTCTGAGCTTTACGTTTTGCTGGTTTTTGTCCTTCGTAGGTCTTTGGATTTAGCTTTAGTTAAGAGAGATCCAGAATAAAGCTATTCAACCGAAGTAATCAAGCACATTCTTTGTTCCTCCACAGATGATTAAACAATATCCAAGGTTTCTTGAAAGTTGAATTCATCTTGGATGTGCCCATGAAAAAAAACTCCAAGTATAAAAGTAAAGAAAGATGTTGGGATACTATTCCGCTACCATTTCTTTCTGAAACCGAGCACATGGAACAGACAGTACTCAATGCAAATAGTCACAAGCTTTGATCAGAATATACACAAAACATGTTTAAATGGCTGGCAGTCCCCTGTAAATGTATTTGCACTTTGGAAGTGGCTGATTGGAAAGCAAAATTAAACAGGATGTTCCAACAGTTCAGCTACAAAACAAAACAAAATTTGGTTGGCAAAAGAAAGCAAAAGTACAAAAGATTAGGATCAGAAAAGGGGACAGAGGAGTTGAATATTTTTGGTGCCTAGAATGAAAGCTGTATGGTACATGCTTATCAGTGATAAACTGGCTAAAGCTGTTAGCTGCCATTTGTAGATTGGTGAAATAGACTTGGGAAGTATTTCTGCTTAATGCTTCATTTCATGTAGATAGCATTTAAACAGCATAGATTGATCATGGCTGGTTGCATGTGCCAGATGCCTGGATTTTAGCAGGTACAATTTAGAGCTGTTCCTGGTTTCCAATATGGATTTGGTAGCCAAGAGGCAAAAATGGGGTTCAGGGTAGCTGGTAAATGCATCTCTCTCTTTCTCTCTCTCTCTCTCTTTCTGTGTGTGTGTAAATGGATCCATGTACAACTGGTACATATACATCTATGTATTTGTGCACACAACATGTTCCTCTAGTTTTTTAATATTGGGATATATAAGTAAATAAATATTTGGGCACTTGACCCACCGCAAAACACAAAGTTGTTGTAACTAAAAGACCTGAGGCTTTAATAGTAGTGATTCCTCTTCACTATCCTTTTCCTGCAGTATAACAAAGTACGCGGAATGAATTCTGGTGAATGGTGGAAAAGCTTCCCACATTAAAAAATGGTGCAAAAATAAAGGAAGACTTTTATTATTATTTTTTATAGAAATAAAGGAAGATCAGTGAGTTCCGACCTTGTGGAACAATTTGGATTGAGGGTTTCTAAAGACAATAGTCCTGGAAACATGCTTCTTAAGAATAATGATTTGCTTACCACTGCTAATGTTTCCCTGCAAACTGTGGTCGCACAGATGGGATTTAGTGTGCTATAGGGCATATTTACAGTTCAGCAAGGCAAGACAATCTTGGCCAGGTTGAACTGAGAATGTGCAATAAGGTCTCATCTCAAAATCCTTTTACAAGCCCATGGATTCCTTGGCATAGTTGCTTAACAGTCTTCATAGGGAAGAAGTGGTCTAACGATTGTATTTATAAGACCTAGATGTTTACAGGAAAGCAATACAGAGATATAGATGTGTGGTGGGGAGATAATGAACACCAGATTTAGAGGATTCTCTATTCTCATAAGCACAGATCTAGTGGGGAGAAATGGATCTGGGTGGTCAGAATTCAGTGATCACTGGTTCTTGAGAATCAGATGGGGAAAAAAAACAATTAATCATTCCCTGGGTTATAAAGATGATGTGGCATGGGTCGTTTCTCAGAAACACATGATTATTCCATATATCAACCAACAAAACATTTCATTTGCATTCACAAAACATTTCCCTCCCGTTGCTTAGATTTGTCATTGAAAAGCATGAAATACACACAACCCATTCAATAAAGCTGACGCTGAACTGGCAAGCGTCTTCCTCAAACACCAGTTCTGAGCTTAGCTTAGTATCCCAACATCTTATACTTGGAGCCCATGGAATTCTATAGTAAAATTCCATGTGGGAGCAGAAACTGGAAAAAAAGAAAATAACTTAGAAAAAATATCCCTTCTGTGTGTTTGTTTGCTGTTGCTTAAAAGAAACAGAATCAATTTACCTTTACACAGATCAATGGTGCTATAAGCATTTTAGCTGTGCAAGGGGAGATAATGAACTGAACTTAAAGTCATGCGAAATCCTCATTCTTTGGTATTGTAGCTGTTGAGGTCTCGGTTGCTCTGTTCCTTGTTCTTTTGAAAAAACTGCATAGGCACAAATTAAAGACAATCTTCAACTTTAAGATTACTGAGTTGTCAAATGAAGCAGCAATCCCGTTGGCTTTTCCATTCGTTTTCCTTTCTTGTTAACCCTTTCTTTGAACTCTGCTTCCTAAAAATGTCCCAAGATGTCTGTCAAAACACAGTGTGTTATCATTGGTATTTTTTTCCTGACGTGCTTCCTTATTTTGGTTTTATTTTATTTTTTAATTATTATTCATTTCTTTATTATTTTCCCCTAAACGGAACAGTTTGTTGCAGAAGAAGTAGGTGCAGAAAAAAGTTTCTTTGGTTTCGATTAAGTAGTACATAAAAGAGTCTCAAGTGTCTTTAAAGGATCATTAACAGCATTTGGCTTGCTATTGAACACTCAAGTGGTGTTCCAAGGAAGGGGGCTATTCACTGGTAAATATGCACATTGTATGACCAGAGCAATTCTGATGAGAAAGATGGTGTGTGTCTCTGTGTGTGAACACTGTACCCTAATGCAGTTGAAAGTGAGCAACGCGACTTCACTTGTGGAGAACTTTTTCAGTTCGCTGGAAGGGTGAACTGAAAGAGACCTGTACTTTTGACTCACATGGATTCTCAAACCTGACTGTTTGGACAAAGATGGCAATGATGACACAGACAATGATGTTAGAAGAATGGCAAAGGTATAATGATCTTTGGCTTGCAGTATCCTGCTATCTTTGGCGTGTTGCATTCTTAGATGAAGGGAGAGGTGATGATGGTTTTGTCCATGAACAAGACTTGGAGAGCCTTTTGTCTAACTACGTGCTCCAGTGGTCAGTGAGTGACATCGTCAAGGTATTTGCTTTATTCTCCTGCCTAAAAACACCAACTAACTTGAATACAGAATTGATGTGGCAAAGAAAAGCGTGTTCTTAGGGTAATGATGATGACACAGTGAAGTTAGATGCCTCGTAACAAAGAAAGACTTAGAGCTGGAGAAGTGTTGCATTTGCCCTATGTGTGGTAACATTATGACTGGCTTCCTGAGTGTGTGTCGGCACTATGTACAAATAGAAATTGTGACCTGCAAAAGTGTGCTTGAAACCAACATGTTCACTAACACCCCCTAACTCCGAGCACGTCTTGTAAGAACAGGCAAAGAGTCCCGAGCTGGTCCTGTTTTCTTAGTCTATTGTCTTTGTGCTTGATAGTTTGGGTTCAAGGGAACCAAATTGTACTGATCCAAGACCATACATTAATAGACAATTAGGTTTTTTTTTAAAAGAAAGCCAAGCATGTTAAGTCAAATCATACTGATCATACTGTAACAATGCCTGACTTTCTGAAAGAAAAACCTTATGTTGTTAGGTCTAGTTCAAATTTGTGCTCAGAACCTGTATGTTTCAATGTTTGTGAGCTTTGGTGTGGAGAATCTAAGCAGTCTGAAAACAAAATAGGTCAGACATGTTTTGACTTCTTTTGATAAATAATCTGCTAATCTGGGTGCTATTTTGTTCATGGATCCCATTGACCTCAAAGCGAATGATTTTTTAAGAAGCTCTGATTGACTCTGCCATGCTGGCCCTGGATGAACTTGGGTCATGAATTACCTATTTTTATTTGAGACATGCTTAGTCTGCCTTGAGTGTATTGTTGACCTGCACATTAAAACAGCCCCCCCAAAAAACTGGTAGTCTTTTAAATTAAATTAAATGTCCCCATGTTGTAAATTGGTGTTACTGTTTAAGAGAATTGTGCTTTCAAATCACCAGTGAAGGGCCCCATTAAGAATCCATTCCTTTTCAAATATCTTAGTTGAGTTGTGCCCAATTTAGATTCGGTTCTTTGATCATGCTTTGGTACAAGTGCTGGAGGTTGTGGAAGATCCCCCGGTGCTCAAATCATCCTGCCATTTCTCGAGACTCCGCCTCCGCGCATTCATGAAGAAGTTACTGACAGTGGTAAGTTCCAAGCCCAGCTGTTGCGAGATGGTGATCTGCATTTCTTTGGATGGACGTTTGTTCTCTTTGAAGATGGCAAAAAGTGTTCTGCGTTGGAGATCGGTGAAAACCAGACGAGATTTCTTCTGGGAGTTGTTCCTATCTTTATTTGGTTCTTGTTCTTTGCGTTTGCATGCTTGCCAGGGAGAAACAGAGAGAGAAAAGAAAAGAAGAATCAATGTATGCATAAGTACCAATCAACTGAGCAGGTGATACATTGAAAGCATTGATGAAACCGTAGAGTAGATGTAAACTGTTAAACTTTATTGTGCAAATTGCAGAAACGTCAATATCCCGCCCGCTCAGGCCCATCTCCTCTGACTCAGAGTGACTGATGCAGACTATATGTACCTTTTCAGTTTGTACCAAGTGTGTAATTAACAAGGCAGCTATTGCCATACAAGCAGAGTGGGCAACTGCCTGGTGGTATAATCAAGGGGTTCCTTCCATGATAGAAACCGCACACCAGCTTCTGGGCACAGCAAGTACCCCACTGGAGTCACCCTAACTTTTTGTACAGGCTTTGCCTCCATTCTAAGGGGCCAGAAAGAAGTAGGGAAAGTCATAAAACTTTTACGTTGATGGTGTTGTAAAGCTTTCCTGAAATGGTGCCAAATGTCACATTATTAGAAAGTCAATGCAACATTGCTAATATTCACAGTTTTCTTTTGTTGTTCTATTATTTATTTATTTGTGGTATTTGGTTGCTGATTGTAAACCGCCTCGAGTCGCCTTCAGGCTGAGAGAAGTGGTATATAAATATGGTAAATAAATAACTAAATAAATTTGTATACTGCTCTTCTCAACCCCGAAGAAGACTCAGGTGGTTCACAGTGTTGGCAAAAATTCAATGACATTGATTTAAAAACAGTATAAAACATCAAAATTGACCCTCCCCTGATAAACATTAAACATTATTAAATACCTGCACAGCACAGTTCAAAACACACAAATACTATCTAAAAATTCTACAAACACACATTCAAATTCAGTTCATAAAAGACACAGATCAAAACATTTATGTAAAATATACATTAATCACACAGGACAGAGACCAAACCACATGACATGAGTTTAAAATTCATGCTTTCAACTTAAGATGAAATATAGATAAGTAAACACTATTATCAACAATAGCAATTTTATGCATATTAATACATGTTTTCTTCTGTTTTCACCTTATAGCACTAATGGAAACTATTATTTTCTTATAAAATCTAGACCCTTTAAAACAGATGATGAAAACAAATGGAACTGCATTCCATTATCTATTTATGGCTCAAAATTTTTGAGCTTATTTGGAAGCCAGCACACCAGTTTGCCCTGGGATACCAGGTTGTTGTAGTTTCATTTGGGCTGAAAATCGTCTGAGGACAAAAGTGCTAAGCAGCATAAAGTTATGTTGTTAAAATATTGCTGATATTTAAGTTTCTGTGAAGCTAAACAAGAATGCTATACGTTAAGGTTACTGAAACACTAAAAGCTGGACTTCCTAAGCAGAGAAGTCAGAATGGAAGTTATGAGCCTATCTAGAGGGCAATAAGAAAGTGTTATTTATTTGTTTAAAGATACTCTACCTGGAGATCCTGCACTGAGCAGGGGATTAGACTATTCCAAGCCATAACACCTGTCCATTCCCTCTAGGACACTTACTAAATTACTTCTAATCATGGGATAGTTCCTTCTCTAGCTTCTACCACTTTCTGCATTCAACACAAACATTTGTATCTTTCTTCAACTTCTCCTCATCTCAGCCTTCTTCAACCTGGTGGATTATGTTTCATAGAAACCCTCAACAATCTATTCTGGGAGTTGTAAGCCAGCATGTTGTGAAGGAACCAGATTGTATGGATTTATTCATATTGATTGATAGTTGGCTACCTGGTCATGGTGTTTCTTTTTCCATTTAAACTATTCTTACTCTCCCAAGTACAGTTATAAGTGAGCAAATGACAAAAGCAAGTCTCCCCCCTCCCCGCCATTTTTTATTATTACATTTAGGATGAGCTGGGTTTCCCCATTCCACTTTGCAAATGCTCTCCACTGCTGCTATATTTCCTCATATCAGGGTAGGAAAGTGAGAAATGCAAAACTATGCTAGTCAAAGACTTTCATGGCCGGAATCACTGGGTTGCTGTGAGTTTTCTGGGCTGTATGGCCATGTTCCAGAAGCATTCGCCTCTGATGTTTCACCCTCATCTATGGCAGGCATCCTCAGAGGTTGTGAGGTCTCTGAAGATGCCTCACAACCTCTGAGGATGCCTGCCATAGATGTGGGTGAAACATCAGGAGAAAATGCTTCTGGAATATGGCCATACAGCCTATGCTAGTGATGTCATAATTTTCCTGGATGGTGGGATATGTTGCCTTCCTAGTCTATTCCCAACAGATGTTGCTGGTTGTATCTACCAGTCCTTTGGTCTTCTTGGAGGTAGGCACCTCAAATGTGACCATGAACATTCTATCATGCTTATATGGTATTTGCCCTGTGCATCATCTATTGCCTGCAACCCTATGAAATACATATGAACTCCTTTTGGGGTGAACAAAGGATGTACACATAATGCATTCATAATCCAAAGTCTCATGTTCCAAAATCTCCAAACATCTGTGTTCTCTCTCTGCCCCCTTCCTCTTTTTGTCTGAATTCTCTTTCTTCTTTCAAATTCCCCGTCCACTTTTGTCCTCACATTCTGTCCATCACAAACCAAAACGTGAGCTGCATTTGTTCACACTCAGCACTTTCAAATCTATTATTTCCTCTATTTCTCCCATATCATCATTAGCATGATCTACTTCTTCTTCATCATTATTATCAAAAGAAGGCCAATACATTTTTCTGAACAAAAGCCCAAAGAAGGAATGCAGGCTGGAAATTATGCAGAACCATCATATTCTTACAGAGCTGGAAGAAAATGATTGCATTTAGTTGTTTTTGCATGCAGGCATGAACTAAGGCTGGGTATACACTATCCTATATCCCAGGATATCATCCCAGATTATCTTCTTATCCCAGATTATCTGGTAGTGTAGACTCTGGGCTGGGCTGGTAGCACAGCTCCAATAAATCACTGCCGACCGAAAGGTGGCAAGTTCGAAGCCTGAGTCAGGGTTGAGCTCCCGACTGTTAATAGCTGTGAAAAAATAGCTGTTTTTTTAAAAGCCCAGCTTACTGTCCACCTAAGTGGTTCAAAAACAACTATGGTGTGATTAGAGAAATTAGGGACCACTTAAAGCAGAGAGGTTAATTTATGACACCATAAAATGGTGGAGAGCAAAGAGGAAATACTACGATCAAAAGGCTTGGCATCATAATAGATGAAATGAATTCTGTGGCATCATAATGGATGAAACGAATTCCGTGGCTGAATTGAGCAACCTCCAGGATCCAGAACAGAAAAACTGCTGAATGGCCTCTATCTGTATGTATGTCAAAAACAGCATTGAATGTTTGCCATGTATGTGTGCATTGTGATCCATCATGAGTCCCCTTTGGGGTGAGAAGGGCGGAATATAAACACTGTAAATAAATAATAATAAATAAATATAATCTAGTTCAAAGCATATAATCTGGGATCGGATTTTGGAATATAGGATAGTGTAGATTCATCCTAAGTGGGGTTTTACTTCTTACTCCCTCCAGCACAGGAAAGAGGTTGGTGATTTGAAGCCAGAAGTGTAGTGCAACAGTGCATTGTCATTTCCTTCTTTGTAAAAGCACCCCGATGCATATTTACTCACATTATGTTTAGCAGGACATATTTCCATATAAGCAGATACATAATTGTTCTGTCAGGAATGCGCCCATCTCTCAAGACTGCTGAACTAGACCGGTTTGCTTAATGCTTCACTTATTATGGTGCAAAATTATTAATATACATTTCAGCTGGGTCATAAGGAAAGATTCTAATATTTTTTAAAGATGAGCTTTTTCCCAAGCAGGGTACAAAAAAATTAGTATTTTTTGGCTAAAAACCAGTGATGGGGTTCGGTACAAAACCAATAACAATCACGGGGCCACAAATGTCAAATTGGCACAACTAAACAGTTGAAGAGAGATGCAATATTGAAACGCCCAGCCCAGTATGCATCTTCTATCAACAACAGCTCAACTACAATGGGATATCATATTCATGCAATAATGTCCCTAAGCAATATATGAAGCATATCCTTGAAGCAAATGGATACACATTAACAGTACACTAAAATTAATTTGGAAGAGATAACTCTTTTAGCCTAGTGGGTCAGATGTTCTTGACCTAATATTTTATATCTACTCCTTTGAACTCCATGGTGCTCTATTTCCTGCTCGGCTCTGTTGTACTGTGCAGAGTAAATGCAACATTAATCGGCTAAGTTAATGCACACGGTTAGAGGGACAAGAGCTGAGCCAAGACTATTTCCTCCCTCCAATCCCTCCAAAACCTTGAGCATTCAAAGGCCTTGCCAGGAACACATTTAAAAAGCTGAGGTCCTCTGGTTTGAAATGCAGAAGGGCAGGTTGGAACATCATTTTACAAGCTTGTTATTTGCATCCAATAAAAAACATTATGCTTAAAAATTCCAGAAAGTGCTGCAATTGGGGTTTTTGTTCAGACTTTTAGTGGACTCTGTGCTGAAAAAGCACATAAGATTGCCAATGGGCTCACTGCCCTCTAATATCAGATACATGAGAAGATATTTGGAGTCACTTGGCTGAGGATTTTGGTTCTTCTATTGGCTTTCAAGCTTCTTTGGGGGACCTGGAAAAATCAATTTGGAGGTGGGACTTTGTCTCCAAATCCTCATACAGTAATGAGTTGACCAGAGACATCCTACTATTTGAAATTTCCCACAATGCCTCAGTATTATACTATTTTGGGGGTACTATGGGAAAATGCAAAAGGCCACTCACAGCTGAGAGGGTATCCACTGAAGAAGCAGATGTTCATTGATGGCCATTGGTAAAGGTCTCTCTCAAACCAGGAGATGGCCCTTCATTAGTCTGCAGTCATTGAGGCAATGAAAATATGGCTCTTCAGTGGTCTGATAATCTTTCAGGAAATGGATGTAAAAATCTGAATAAGGACTTTATCACATGAGGGAGGAAACCTTCACTGAAGCAGAACCATCACCAAAGATCTCATGACACCATGC